CTCTCTCTCTCTCTCTCTCTCTCTCTCTCTCTCTCTCTCTCTCTCTCTCTCTCTCTCGGCCTGATACTCCTATTACACATTACAACTTTTGTAAATGTCCTTCAATTTTTGGATATTTTATCTCTTTCATTCTTTTGCTCCTTTCTTTCCAGTGTGGTTCTATTATTTTTTAACATTTTCTTTTGGTTCTCTGAGGTTCCCTCTCTTTGCTTATATAGCCTGTCTGTTCCTGCAAGTTGTTCACTTCTTACTTAGGAGTTCAAGGTATATATCACAATTACTTTCTGCAGTTGATTCTAAAAACCTATGCCATATCTGAGGCTTGCTTTTTCTCTTCACACTGCAGTTTCTTGCCTTTTTGAATGATTTCCAATTTTTTATTCAAAGCAGGATATGATTGATTGAGTAAAAGGAACTTGGGTGGATAAGTGTTCAGTGTGAGGCTTTACTTTTATTTGGCTAGGCAGTAGGCTATGTTTATTGTTAAGTGTAGCTGTGGTATTAGGAGTCTAAAGTTTTCTCCATTGTCTTTGTTTCTCATGCTGTTTTGTATCTACTTGGAGACTTACTGACGAGTATGCAGGGCTTAATGTTCTTTTAGTTATATTGGCCTGTTAGTATACAGGATTTACTGTTTTTGTAGCATGTGTGGGGAGAAGAATTTGATATTTTTGTGATTAATCTTTTAGTGATCCTGAGTTGGTGTTTCTCTTCCCCGACATTGAAAGTTAAGAGAGGCTGGACTTTCATGCTCTACAATGAAGACTAGAGGAGAAAGTTGAATATTTACTTCACCCAGGCCTGCTAGGCTTTGATGAAATTCCAGTTAATTTGACTTTGGCAACGTCTCTGGATGTGAGGCCTTGCTAAAGAGAATGGGGAGCTCTGGGTACATTTCCAAATGGTTGATTTTCCTTTTCCCCTGCTGACCAGAGGGAGATATTCTGTGGTCTTCATGAGGAGCACTTGTAGGGTTCCTAGAGGTGAGATTCAAGGTGGCTCCCTGAAGGCCGAAACATGTGATGTGGAGTTTTAACTTCTGAGATTGTACTCACTGAGCTACCACAGCTGTAAGTGTGCATTGGTGTAGATTCTGGCTCCATCTGTGGGCTCCTGCGCTTACCTCTCTGCTCCTGGTGTGATTCTCTGCGTCTGTCAGTCTGCTTGTTTAGTTTTATGACAGCAGTTTATCCTGGACTTTCATGATCTGATCTGATGATGCTAAGAATTGTTGTTGATCATTGGTAGTTCTCCAGTTTTGTTGTTGTGAGAGTATGCAAGCTGTTTAAACGTCAGACTAGAAAGTGGAAGTCCCTCAGAAGCTCTGAAGTATGGCGATGCAGGAGTTCATTGTTAGGAAGGCAGTGTGTTGTCAGAGATGTGTGATGCAGTTACTTTATCCTGTCCTCAATTCTTAATCTCAACAGAGATTTTAATTATGACTAGTACTTTGAGATTTTATTCTATCTAAAATATTGGCAAAAAGGCTGCATTGTAGCCAAATATTGTAGTCTTGATTGTATTTAAAGACTGAACTATCCTGCAATATATATGATATGTATTTTATTTGGGAAGATAGTGTAAATATTTATGTATTTATATAGATATTTTATAAAGCCAAGATATGATTTGTTTTAGGAATTTAAATTTTTATGTTTATTAAAATTTTAAATTAAAGACTTTGAGTTGGAAGCTGATTTATACACTAATCAATATGTTTATGACAAAACTTTTGTCATTGGTTAAGAACAATATGATTAATTGCAGATTTTCACATAGGATTTGTTTAACAAATATCCTTTCCTTTACATACTTGTTAAATATTTGTTGCTTTCAGTACATCAACTGTTTGAGTAAAAGTAGGTTTTGCATTGCTGTACATTTTGATGAACTGATGTGGCAGTCTCTTTTGTATCTTAAAAATGTATGTGTGACTTATTTTGTTCTGAAAAGATTTTTGGCTTAGTATTAAAGAAATCCAAGTTTCCTAGGTAGAACCCAGTGTCTTTATGATTTTACTGTCTTTGAGTTTACATATTTGGTGATACATGCATCCTTTAAATGTTAATTCATCATATACTTCAATAAATGGTGTGGCTTTAACCTAGGAAGAAATTTTTACTCTGAAATTTATTCAGAATGTGCATAATATTTTATGGTTGGTGTAATGACATAATTAAAATTATATTCATTTGATGAGACATAGTACATAATGGTATCCTTTTATTTATTGTTTATATCATTAGAAAAGAAAAAAAACTATAGAAAAAATAAATTATCTCTGGAGAGAGATTCTAACTCATATTTTTGGTGTAACTGTCTAGTGAAAGTCCTAGCTTTTAGTGATTACCGGTTCTTAGTTTTCCTTTGAGAAAGTAGAAACTAATCAAGTGGTTATTGAGTCATCAATGTATTTTTCAGTACCATTCCTAGGCAAATTATGGGAGGTCAAGTTTTGGAGGTTTTCATTTCCTTGTATACAGTCCTTCTATGCCTTTTAAATGTTCAGTCATATTTTATTTTAATATTCTGTGCTGTATATTGGTTCAGGCTTCCATTCACTTCCTGAATATTGTGAATACTGTTTATACTAGTGGATGTATCTATAGAAGGAATAGTTTAATTTTAATAATATAACAAGAAGTACATAATAGTCATCCCAAGAATGACTTAGAGTGGAGGCCTGGTCGGTTGGCAGTGTCTAGTCATTCACATTTGCTGCCTATTTATGAATCAGTTTCCGACCAGAAATTCTTATACTCTGCTAATATGAAAAGTAATTTCTTCTTATCTAAGGGAATTAGAAAGCAGGATTTTTAAATACATTTTTGGATAAGCATATTGAACTTTACAGAATTGAATCTAAAGCATTTGACTTGATTGTACACTATTTAAATTTATTTTCATTATGGTATAGTTATATTAATACCTTAAAATATTTTAAATGTAATGCTCAGTTTTCATAGCTACTTGTTTAAAAGAGAGGAGATACATAAAGTCATAATTCCCTTACTCCCTTAAGCATGAAGGAATCTATTTGTAGGTCTTATAAATTTATTCACAAAATAATTTGTTTCGTTTAAAATATATGCATCTTTTAGATTATATTAAGGAAGAAATACAAATATATAAAGGAAATCTCTTTTTAATTATCTAAATAAGATTGTTTTTAATGTGGTAACTTAAAGTAACTATTTAAAAATCTTTAGTATCAATAAGAATTGTATAAGACCAGAATTAAATTGTTTTAAAATAGCAATGGAGTTTCAGTGATCAAACTTTTTGGTGAAACAATGAAATATATATAATTATATGGCAAAGTACTCAAGTTTTCCATGTAACAATCCTAATTTTTCACAACTGTTATATATGACCACAATCTGTAGATAGAAATTTATTTCTAGAAAAGGGCACTCAGTTGTGCAAACTTATCTTTTTAGGGTCAAAGAAGAACCCAAACCACAACCGACACAGTGAGTAAATGTCCCGGGTGCAGTAGAGCTCTGTACCTCCCCACCTCTGCTTCCTGCACCTTCCACGGTATTAGCTTGCGCTAATACTGGATAGGCTGCAGTTAGTGTGTCCTCTGCTTTCTGACTCTCTGCTTGTGAGAGAGCTGCCTGCAGCTTCTTACTTCATCCACATAGTGACTGGATGTAGTTTTTTGCTGCCTGCTTGTGAACTGTTCAAACTCAATTTTCTTAACATTCTTACTGCCTGGGTGGTACCTGGAGCTCACATTTCCATTGGCTGTAGCTTTTGTGCCTGTGTATTATTATTATACGGCTAAGAAAACATTTAACCTACATTGTTATTCATTTGGTTATTCAGTTACATTATTTGCTTATTTAAACAGGTGGTTTCCCTTTAGTGGGATCACTGAACTGGTAAATAACGTTCTTCAACCCCAGCAAAAACAACAAAATGAAAAGGCGCCCCAGACGTAAGTAAGCTGATCTATATAGACTAAATATTATCTCTGATAGTGTAGCATACTAAAAAATATGTATTAAAGTACTGTCCTTGGAATAATATGCCCTCAGAGAGGAGTATTGTTAGGCTAGAGTTTGATGTTTTAACCTTTAATCATCTCATGGAAATCTAAAATGAAAACAAGGATAATTTATAGGACAGTAAAAAAGAAGAGCTAATTCTTCCCCAATTTTAGTATAAACAATGCAAAAATTTGTTCAGTAAAATATCTTTCTCCAATAATGTAATGTATTTCAGTGTGTGTGGGGTTTTTTTTTTTTAACACAAGTTCTAGCAAATGTTAAGAGTTATTAACCTAAATTCAATCTTTGGTGAAATAGTTTTGGAAAAATTATTTTAAAAAAGGTTAAGCAGGTTTCTTTGTTGCAGTAATTCTGAGAACTTAAATGTGGTGCAAGGATATTAGAACACATGCTGTTTATTAAATTCGTTTGACCACTGAATGCTGTTTTCATTGAACATTTCATTAGATTATGAAATATGTTTTGAAACATACTGGCTTATCCCTACATTGACCTGAAACATTAGAAAAATATTGAGTCCTTTTCTTTTAGCTGTTAACAGATTTGTTAAAAGTTGTTCATAACTCATATTTAATTGCACAAGACAGAAATGACATGGTTTACTTTTGCTTATTGAACACTGACCCAAACTTGTCACTGGGCTCTTAACATGTGCTTGGAAAAGGAGAAACCTGCTATGTACTAATCATTAGTAACATTAGCTATAGTTAGTATATATTTGATTCTTATAAGAATTCCCATTTCTTTTTTTCTTTCTTTTTTGGTATTTTAGGGAAGGGTCTAAAGGGTGTTCAGGGTCTCACTACTAGATCGGACTTGTAGTGATCCACTTGTTTACCACCTCCCAAGAGCTGGGATTACAGGCGTGCACCACCACGCCCAGTCTCAATAGGTGTCTCAGCATGCCCTGAGGGTGGGGTCAGCACGGCAGGCCTGGGGATCGAACCCTGGCCCCTGCACCTGCTTGCAGGTGCTTTAATCCACTGAGCTATTTAGTGTGCCCTCTCATTTCTTACTTATGAGATCGAAATTTTAGGATGCCCAAAATAATAGTTTTCAAAAGATTGCTATTACCACAAGGATAGTTCTAGTATTAACCCTGTCTCTGGTACTGTTGGTTCTACTATGATGCTGTAATGACTAGGATCAGGGTCCTTTTTAAAATGAGACTAAGGGTGAGCGTTAGTAATGTAAATACAATCAAAATACAAGAGTGCCTAGGGGAGGGTGTTAACTGTTTATAGTGTTAAAAGGAACAGTTATTAAATTTTGTCAGTGGGATTATGAGAGATTTTTTGCCTTCTCTTAAGTGGCAGTGAAAGACTAGAGATCAAGGATGATGTTAGTAAAATATGTGAAAACATACTGAAACACTTCTGACTAATCACTGCAAAGTATGGTAATAAATAAGATTAAAACCAAACAAAACAATCTTGAAAAGGAGTAGAAATTTCAGAAAATCAATCTTGGAAAGAGTCTCTTTATTGTATTTTGTCATTTGTTGTATTCAAGAGCCAGTGATTAGCTATTTTTTTCTTCTCAAAGATCATGTGCCTCTGGAGGATCTTTAAAACCCTCCTTCTTAAAGTCTCTTGATGGAGCAGTTTCCAACAGCCCAGAGAAAATTGTTTGTCTTTCTAGAGGCGTATGTACATATACAAATCTAAGAAGTAGCATTTTGCTTTTATGAAAGTACTAATTGTTTTATTTAAAATTTTATTTATCTCTATACTAATTGTTAAAATGCTTATTATAGTCATTTCTGTCATGAGTATAGCACAATTTTCTTTCAGGTTTTTTTTCCGGAAGGCTAAATATGTAGATTTCAAATGATGGAGAATTGCTTAGGAGAAATTGAAACATACGCAGATAGGGCAGGCTGTTATAATTTAAGGAGAAAGTAAATGGTCCCACAATGCTGTTGATTTCATTATCTAGGAAACAAAAAGTGATAGAAATAGAAGGGACTCTGATTTTAATTTTAAAATTCCACTTGTTATTTCTACCTTTTCTCAAGATTGAGGCTGATATGAACAAAAGACATTTTCCTGTAAACTCGGTATTTCTTATTGGTGTTTGACTAGTTAAAACAGTTGATGTGGAGTTTTGCAATGTAAAAGGTAATTTTTCTGCATATACATTTCCAGGTATGACATAGTTTTCAATGTGAGTAGTTCTAAATAGACTGCATGTGTTAGGTACCTTGAAACCACCTTAAATTTGGCTCAAGGCAATAATAAATAAAAATTATAGGAATAGATTATTTAGAAAACACCATTTAGAAAAATTTGTAACAGTAGCAAAATACTGATTGTTGAATAAAGTTTTTGTTAATACAAAATGCATTTATTGAGAAGTGCACCAATTGAAATCATATACTTTGTCAAATTATTGGACAGTGAAAGTGTGTAAAAAGTAGCATTGAAACTGCAGAGCCAGACATAGCCCGGCCTTGCATTCTCCTTATGTGTATTTCCTGGGAGGACTACTTCCCATCTGCAAGCATGACTTTTATTTATTTATTTATTCTTGGTTTTTTGACACAGGGTCTTGCTATGTAGTCCAGGTTGGCCTTGAATCCCTGGAGATCCTCTTGCCTCAGCTTCTCAAGTACTGGGATTACTGGTGTGTACCACCATGCCCAGCAATGACAGACTTTTATACTGACTTCTGATTAGCACACTATTTTCTATCTAGCATCATTATTTTGTCTATTTTTATTTAGAGTGTTGTATAGATGAACTCATAAATATTGGTATTCTATTGGTTCTATATTTTTCACAACACAATATTTGTGAGATTCATTTATATGATTGTATGTAGTTATACTTCATTGTTGTTGTGATGTGGTACTTGAGTATCTGAATGTACTGCATTTTATGTATTTATTGGTGGACAACTGGGCTTGTTTTTAATTTTCTGGCTATTAATAGTTCTGCTATATACATACATTCTTTTTTTATTTTAGGGAAGGGTCTACAGGGTGTTCAGGGTCTCACTACTAGATCGAATTTGTAGTGATCTGCCTGTTTACAGCCTCCCAAGTATACATACATTCTGATGCCATTTTTTCAGTACTTTGGAGGAAAATAACATAGTTATTTGTGAAAGCAAAGTACTTCAACTACCTAAAACATTTTAAACTACTAAACCTAGTTATTAAATCAGGGTCTCTATCTGTCCAGTTTCTCAATTGTTTATTTGGTAATGCTTTCTACGCTGCTTACTGAGCACTCCTTACTGTTTGATGGCTTGGTTCTCTTACATTTAGTCTAAGAGGGAAAAAAGGTAGACTAAGAGAAGTGGCATAGTTAGTCTGTTTTGTGCATCATGAAATTGCTCGGGCATACAGTTAACTCTGTCACTGAGATTGAGTGTAATTCATTAAGGTCACACAAATTGTAAAAAATGTAAATAATATAATCTGATAATTTTTCTTCTGTATTTATTTATTTATTTTTAGATGAAGAACCCATGGTCTTTTACCTAACAACCATTTTATGAAAGTGTTTTATTCCCTAATGACTTTTTTTTTTTTTTTTAAATTTTTATTTATTTATTTGTGTGTGACTGTGTGTGGCCAGCTCAGCCCACCAGGGGGCGGGGCTGGCTGGCATGTGGTGCTGGGGATTGAACCACGGTCCCTGTGCTTTGGTAAGCTTAGTTCTAAATAGGTGCTTTAGACCACTGAGCCATCTCACCAGCACCCCTAATGACTTTTTGAAAGAAGTATTTTACTTTAATTAAGGAGATGATAGTTGAAAGTAGAATATTTATAGTGTACTCAAAAGAGTTTTTCTATTATCACCTTTTAAAGATAATTCATTAAATAAATTTTCTTCAAGAAGCAAATTTCAGAGAAGCATTGCCACAGCTTTATCCTTGGAGTTATGTAAGCTACAAAAGTACTTTTACTTATTTTTGATCTCAGTCTTTAGCATCAGAATTATTTCCTATTGTAAATGGGATTTTAATTTTAGTTTCAAAGATTCTGTATTAAATATATATATATATATATGCATGCTTTAATAGTTTTTCATATATTTGTTGTGGTATAATAAAATAGAGAAAGCCATTTGTGTTAAAAAATATATTTTTTTGTTTTTTGTTTTTTTAAAGATATATATTAAAGAAAAAGATTAGTATTGCCAAGCAGCTTTACATAACTCCAAATATGAGTTATTAGATGTGGTTATTTATTTTTTGCAATACTTCTAAAATGTTTTTCAGATGAATCAAAATGAAATATTCTGATTCATTTGTATTAGTTTTGTAATATTTCTCAGCCATGACATGCTTAATGCCATAACTTGTGATGTCAAAATTAAGGTGGCTCAGATATTATGGGAACTAATCCTTAGCCAAGGAAAGATACAGTTGTGATAAATACTTCAAAAATCTTCACTGGAAGCATTAGGCCTAATCAGGGACATTGCAGAATCTCTTCCCAAAGAAGTGGTAGTGAAGTGCCAAGAGAATAATGAAGACCGATGTAAGGGAAAAGCAGAAAGTACTGCGGTTATATTAGTTTCATGCAATGGTTGGTGAACTTGCCTCTTTTTTCTCAAGTTGTGTATAGAATATTGAAATATCTTGTAATAGTCCTTCTGCTTGTAAAAAATGGATTCCTTTACTAATCTGGTGAAGTCTTTAGAAGGCTTCCTAAAACAATAAGCAATTATAGTACAAAGGAAACCAGTTAAATTAAAATACAGTTCTGTCCATGTACTGCTTGTGGGGGGTGTGTGGGATGCAAATTATGCAGCAACAATGGAGTTATAAAAAGTCACCTGTAAGCCATTGTAGGTGGTTGTTGTTTCTTGAGTCTTGGAGATAAATGAAGACACCATGTTTATAGATAGGAGGACTCAATATTGCAAAGATAGCATATATTTTAATTTTTTTTTATATGTAGTACAGGGTCTAC